TATCCAACGATGCCAAAACGAATTCTGTGGCTCAAATGGTTCTTGAGAAACCTCGAAAAAAGCAGCGTCATGTTCAAGTGGATTTTGCAACTCAAAGAAAACCACGCAAATCTAAAACGTCTTGAATTCAAGCATTTTTTGAGAAAACGGCCAACATTTGCGTATCGATGGTTCACTTTCTAATAAGGCCATTTATTTCTCTCTAGAATGATGTACAAATGAGCGGTCTTGCTCATTTTGCCTCCGAGAAATGAGCAAAAAGGGGACGGAAAACATGAAATTTTGCAATAATCTTACGCCACCCTGGCACAAAACGACGATCATTTTTCTAGGTTCATAAACAACAGAAGACCCCTGACTTTAAAACTGGACCCGCCTCTGTGCACCAATTGAACTTTTTTACTTTTGGCGAATTTTTTTAAATTTTAGAAAATGTATTTACAACCCTAAAGCAGATAAAATCCTGATTTTGTGAAATTTCACCGATCAATCGCTGGTTTCAATGTGAAAAGTTTCACTTAATTTTACCGGGCGGTTGAGTTTTGGCGGATTTTCAAATACACAACGTTTCACTTATTTATTAGTAACTAAAAATGTATAACTCCGTCCCTGGGGCAGGTAAACGCTTGAAACTTTGGATATTTACAGAAAAGAACTTGAGTTCAACGCGATTTGGTCAATACCTGCAGGTCTTCTTCTGATCCAGATTTTTTCTACACAACCCCCCCCCCCNTGACTTTAAAGCTGAATCCGCCCCTGTATTACCTCTCAATTAAATCCACCCGTAGCTGAGTCCCATGTGGAAGCGTGCACAGTTCGATTCCCCCACACAGCTTCAGCTGCTCGCTCTCCAACCCCCCAGCTCCAAAGAGCAGGTCCAGGTCGATGGTCGTAAGGTGATTAGCGAGAATGCGGGGCCCCGACTCTGCGAGCGTCATTTTTATTCGGCGCAGCGCTTGTGCGTCCAGAGGCTTATTCTCATGGACCGGCAGCAGAAGCGTCTGGAAGTTCTCCAAGTCGAACCTTCCAAGAGTCATCAGTGAGTAGCTGCAGTCTTTAAGAGTCTGTGTTGTGCCTTACTTGCTTTCGAGGCTCGTGGGCACATCGGGCAGTCGCCTCAACTTCTCCTCAATCTCCATATAGTCGACTTCAAAGTTCTTCAGCGTGGTTGAGGACTCAGACGCAGCCATGTGGTAGCGGGGGTTCTTAATCACCACCCCTGCAAATGCGCCCATGTAGGCCAATGTGGCAGTTTCCAGCGTTTTACTTACTCACCTTTGGGCAAATCGACCAGGTCGCCCGCTGCTGAGCTCAACGCCGAGTCCCCGGAGCCATTCCCGGAGTCGGAACCACTGGCATGGTAGGAGGTGATGCGCTGCAAATTCCCGTGTGGCGCAAACCCCAACGGTGTCGACTCCACTGACTCAGCGCGCGATAGGCCAGGAATGCGCGACGGCTTGGGGGGCGGAGACTCGTTCCCAGAGTCTGCGCCATCTGTGGCACATCGACGCTCTGCGCAGGGAGATAGAGTCGGATCGCTGGTTATCCTGAAACCAGCAGAAGTGAAACCTGCTGCATAAAGGAGACTCTTGGGAGTTTCACGAAAATGCTTCGCTCACCTGCAATGCCGGCCCAAAGTGTTGGCGCTATTCGACAGAGACAGCCGGGTATTGTGCGAGGTGCGCGGCAACGAGTGAGTGGAGAACTTCAGCCCTGAGCTGACGCTTTCTGAGCCGACTGATCGCGTCATCAACGGCGACTGGATCACGCCATCAGCGCTGTTGCACTTCTCCTGCTGCATGCGATTCACTTCGGAGGGAGTGAGCGATTGCGATCTTTGCTTCTTCGATGGCAGCCTACAATGGAAGGGCGTCAAACATGAGCGGAGCCCTGAGCCAGGGGAAACTTGCCGTGGAACCCCATCCCGTCGAGTAGGAGAGCAACTCGGCCGGTACCCATGCAGGGGGTTGTGTCGGAACTGCATCCCTCCCATGGGGGTTGAAACGGGGCTGGCCAGCCGGCTGGATGGGAGAGGCGTGGGGTACCGGCTAGCATAGAAGGACAGCGGGTACATGCGGTTCATGGGGGTTTGAATTCTCGCTTCTGAAGCCACTGTTATGGGCTTCCCCGAGCCTGAAAATATGTCCCTTTTGAGTAGTGCGCAATGAATGACTTTTTATGCTTTGCTATGCATTAATTAAAATAATTAAAGCTCTCCAGGCTTTTTCTTGAACACACAAACTTGAACAAGATCGGGAATTTGTAGATACTCTAGTTGCGCATCTTTGAATAATCAGTTTAAAGCCCAAAATGAAGGTTTCTGCCACAAAAATCCAACATTTCCCCCTTTTATCTGCTCCTGCAATCTCAGGACTTTTGGATCAGAAGAAGACCTGCAGGTATTTTCCTGCAGTCCTTTTCTGTAAATATCCGAAGTTTCAAGCGTTTACCTGCCCCAGGGACGGAGTTATACATTTTTAGACGCAGAGCTGCACGCCCGGAAAATCACTTTTTAAAGCGATTCAAAATTTTGCCAAAATCCATCGTTACTAATAAATAACTGAAACGTTGTGTATTTGAAAATCCGCCAAAACTCAACCGCCCGGTAAACTTAAGTGAAATTTTTCACATTGAAGCCAGGGATTGATCGGTGAAATTCCACAAAATCACGATTTTATCTGCTTTAGGGTTGTCTATGCAATTTCTAAAATTTTAAAAAATTCGCCAAACGTAAAAAAGTGCAATTGGGGCACACAGGCGGATCCAGCTTTAAAGTCAGGGGTCTTCTGTTGTTTATGAAATTAGAAAAATGATCGTCGTTTTGTGCAAGGGTGGCGCAAGATTATTGCAAAATTTCATGTTTTCCGTCCCTTTTTTGCTCATATCTCGGAAGCAAAATGAGCAAGAACGCTCATTTGTACATCATTCTAGAGAGAAATAAAGGGCCTTATTAGAAAGTGAACCATCGATCATCAAATGTTGGACGTTTTCTCAAAAAATGCTTGAATTCAAGACGTTTTAGATTTGCGTGGTTTTCTTTGAGTTGCAAAATCCACTTGAACATGACGCTGCTTTTTTCGAGGTTTCTCAAGAACCATTTGAGCCACAGAATTCGTTTTGGCATCGTTGGATAGAGAATTGAAAAGTCTATTCAGTCGTAACAACATGAGTGAGGAAATTTGAGTAGTTTTGACCCAGAAAGCGAAATTTGAATATCAGACACTTAGGTGCAAGACTATGCCAAAATTTCATGTTTTTTGTCTCCTTTTTGCTCATATCTCGGAGGCAAAATGAGCGAGAACGCTCATTTTTACATCATTCTAAACAGAAATAAATGGTCTTTTTAGAAAGTGAACCATGGATGGGGAAATGTTGGAAGTTTTCTCAAAAAAGGCTTGAATTCAGGAAGTTTTAGATTTGCGTGGTTTTTTTTTTAGTTGCAAAATCCACTTGATGATGACGATGCTTTTTTCGAAGTTTCTCAAGAACCATTCCTGGGGGGATATTCTGTGGGGAAAACAACTGGGGGGTTGCCAAGGGTTTATTTATTCATTAAAATTATTGAATTTTGCATCGACCGTATTCTTCTGTGCATAAAGTAGGAAAAGTACGATTCACCCATTCTTGATTAAGAGAGAAAATAATATCTGCCCCAAAATGGCGGACTCCTCTTCTTGTCTCTTAAACGTCTAAAAAATGGGCCCGACCATGTTGCCGATGCAACCCTATTACCCTAACAACACGGTTGCCATACAAAGCTACTCCACAGGCTTCTCCGGAATTTTTTGAAACTGGTCTGGACGTTTTGGAAAAACCAGTTTTTCTAGTGAGCTTTCGGAGTTTCTCAAAACTCAATGGAGTTGGAGAATTAGGTGAAACTTGGCGAACATAGAATTGAATGCTTTTTCTACTAATGTCCAGCATTTCAGGCGTTTATCTACACCAGGGTAGGAGTTACGAATGTTGCAAACCCGGGCCACACACTTTGAAAAAAAACTTTTTAAGAAATTTTTTGGAAACCCAACTGTTGAGGCGACTACAGTGAAAACTTGCATACGCTACAAACTGAACTGCCTTTGTTTTTTCGGCCTCTTGCCGTAAGCCACTTACCAACGTAAAAAGTGATCAGATCTTGGACCGTATCGAAAGCTTCATCCTCAAACTGATACTGCACTCTTTCGTAAACAGTGTCCGGCTGCAGGAAGACTTTGTTGATGACGAAATGCAGCGGATGTCCTTTGGTGCGACAAGTTAGGACGTAGTTTCCCGGCTGGGAAGTACAGTCTCTGATCTAAAGTGTCCGGTATAGAAGTAACGAAACCTCGCAGGGAAACTTTGAGAAAACTTACTAAGAAACAACCGTCCTCCTGGACGATTTCCTCAGCTCGTGCTCGAGGAATCGCCCCGTGGTACCAGGCATGTGACCTCAAGTCGCGGCCATCCAGCGATAATTCCCATTCTAGAGCCTTCCGCAGGTCGGTTTGGCTCACATTTGGGTCGGTCGCTGGTTCCTGCAAAACAAGCTTTCTATGATTTTCTCGACCCAAAGATCCTGCAGCACAAAGAACGAAGAATAACCCTTATTTGGCCTCAGTTACGCTTTTTCCATCAATGAATCTCAGTTCGAACGTTCCTTCCATTCTATGAAATGAGCGGATTTTATGGGAAAGTTCCAGACATTTCTTATAAGGATTCAATAAATCGCTGTCCCCTAAACCGTTTCATTTGGCCCAAACGAGCCGAGTTTCGTAAAAAGCCGAGATTCAGTTTTCACTCGGGATGGAGAATGATTTCCATCGCTGCTGACTTGAATCCAATATTGAACTTTCCCAAACATTTAAGCTTTGGAAATTTGTTTGCTAAGTCCTGCTGTTGGCAACAGCGACAGACATTATTGCTAGGTATAGCGGCAACGTTGCACGGCGTAATAAGACGCACATACGGGGGCTGTCCAAAACAATATATAAACGTTAATTGTTGGAAGATAAACCTCTACAATATTTCATGGTAGCTTCGACTGTAATCCTTTATGAGCTTTGTTTATACATGATTATTGCGGTAAGAAGGGGATTCGAAGCGTCCTCAACCAAAAGCTACTAAAATCGTTTGTGAACGCGACCTGGATGGTTTAAGGAGATAAACATTATCATAGATTTCGCACTCTTATGATAGCGAGTAGACGGAAGGACTAGAGGCAGTGAATACGATGGAAATTGCAGGTCAGTGAATCGAACTCCCAAATTTTCACTAAAAAAATGCTAATAATACTCGGTTTAGTAACGCAACAGAAGAATGAACACATGGAATAAAATCCAATTTTTAGCTCGTTAAATGCAAACTTAACTAGTTGTATATTTAGTTACATCGACGTTCTATATACAAAACTGAGAAAGTGATCAGGAACGCCAGCAACAGAACCACCTCCAGACCGATCAGAAGGATCAGAACCGTGTTTTTGCTTTTATCGGCCTCTTGCTCATCACGTGCTGAATCTTCTGATTCCTCATCCTCCTTCGAGGCCAGGTAGTTTTCAATTGCAGCTCTATCTCCTCTAGCAACAATCATTTCTCACTAATTCAAACGTAGTTCTGGCAGCTGAAGTTAAGAAAGATTAGAGCTATTTTATGTCAGGCTAGTGCCACGTCATCAACGGTTTCTACGAGGAAGTTCATAAATGTTACCTGAACGAACTTGAGGAGTTGTTTCTTATAAACCATTTAAGAAACTAAAACAGTTGGCCCTTCCTTAGCCCTTAAACATTATCAAAAGTGTCTTTGGTCCATCCAAGTTCGATTTCTATTACAAGAGGCAAAGCTCGAATGAAGTCCCCAAAATAATCCCAACTGTTCAAATCAGGCAATCGGGCTGGTCTTGCTTTGTTTCCTCCTCTGTGTGATGTGATGAAAGATAATTTTTAAGTTTGCGTTTGGTTAACGTAACTCTTTGAATGTTTTATTTTAAATCGGCATTAGAAACCATAAGCCGACTTTGTCTTTTAAATTCCACACTAATTGGAATTTCTCGATTATCAGTCAGCCGAACGCTTAATTTGAGATTCACAGTAAACCTTTTTCAGCTTCAGTGATTAAACTATTACCAAGTCTAGAAGGTTGCTAAACTGGTCTTAATTTAACGAAGGTTTTTTTTTGGAAAACTACAATGCTTTTTACAAATGACATACAGTTGAATCCGGATATAACGAACTTGAAAAATGAACTAAAACTGGTTCGTTATTTCCAGAGTTCGCTATAAGCGAATAATAATACAAAAACACGTGGTGTATTTTATTTCGTTATTTTTACATAGAGTAGTAGAGGTTAGTAGGTATGACTAAAACGAACACAAAAATATGAACAAAATTCAATTTGAAATCTACTTCATAAACTCTGTAATTTTTGTTTGTACATTTCTGCTGCAAAAATAGATGTTATTTATGTAGGTTTCAAGATCACAAAAGGACTCCCAGATATGATTAGGAACTTGGCGTGATTGTAGAAAATGCCGAGTTTCTGACACCTTTTTTGCCATTTCAGAAAGGGTTGGAACAACATTAGTTTCTACAGTAGAATACGTTTCACCTAAATTATTATCTTTCTCATTATCGCTTAAAGCTGTAGATGCGCTTACGGAGTCTATAATTTGCTCATCGGTCAACATTTCCCTTGTATTATCAATGCTCACATATTCGAAGAAATTGAAATCACCTACTTTGGTTTTAACTTGTTCTTCGACAACTTTGGGACATTTTCGTCTGTGTCATACTCGTAGTCAGAGTTTTTATACTTTTCTAACCATTCGTTAAGTGAAATTTCATCGCCTGGTTCATAATCATTTTCTTTTCTTACAAATCCCCCATGCATAAAGCAATTTGCAATGGTTTTTCGGCTAACTTTTTGCCAAGCTCTATGAATGAAATTGACTGCATCTAAGAGATTTATAGAAAATGTTTCATTT